GAAGGGGCTGTGGTTGGTTCTGCCCCACCCCCAGGCAGTCCTCCCCCCATCGAAGGGGCTGTGGTTGGTTCTGCCCCACGCCCAGGCAGTCCCTCACTCACCATTGAAGGGGTTGTTGTTGGTGCGGATGCGCTGTGCCACAGCCTCGTCCAGCTCCCGTTTCTTCACACACTGGATGCCCAGATTCTGGAAGCTGAGATGCAGGCAGGGGTTACCCACAGCCCCTCCCTGCATGGTGCCAGCCCAGCCCCAGGGAGGGTGGGGGGCTGGACCCCTGGGTTCCGTCCCCAGCTCTGCCCAACTTGCTGCGAGATCCTGGGTAAGTCCCCTCCCCTCGCGGTGCCACAGTTTCCCACAAAGCGAATCAGCAGCAAAGCTGAGGGTACGTCTACACTACTTCGATGGATCAGCGGGTAGTGATCAATCTATCGGGGATCGATTAATCGCGTCGAGTGTAGATGCAATAAATCGATCCTCGATCGCTCTGCCGTCGACTCCTGTACTCCACCGCGGCGAGAGGCGGAAGCGGAGTCGACGGGAGTGCGACGGCAGTTGACCCCACGCCGTGAGGACACGAGGTAAGTCGACCTAAGATACATCAACTTCAGCTACGCTATTCTCGTAGCTGAACTTGCGTATCTTAGGTCGATCCCCCCGCCAGTGTAGACCAGGCCTGAAATAGAACCCAGGAGTCCTGATGCCTGCCTCCCCACCCCGCCACATGGCTTTAACCCACTCGACGCCCACCCTTCCCCGAATTCCAGGGACAGAACCCAGGAGTCCTGACTCCAGCCTCCCATCTCTACTGCAGCTGACCCCACGCCCCTACCAAAGGATTGAACCCAGGCATCCGGGCTCACCTGTGGATGTTGCGCTCAGGTGATAGCTCGGCCTCATAGTAGCCATCCTTGCAATCTTTGCCCACCAGCTCGTGGGGGTGGGGTCGGTGGGGGGCGTCCTTGGTCACCAGAGAGATACGAACCTTCCCGGGGCCTGTGTAATTATTGATCTGGGGGTGGGAGATGGGGGCAAAGGTTAGGGGATCCAAGGATCCTCAGCAGGGCTAGAAAGGAGCCCCTCCCCGCCATTCCCCACTGGAAATCAGGCTGAGACCTTCCAAACTCACTGCATCCATGAGCCTCCAGGGGGCAGCAGCTGCAGGGGTCTGGCCCCTTTGGCATCAGGCATTGTTGAGGTCCCACTCCACGTGGGAGCACGGGAGTGTTAACACTCAGAGCCCCTCCTCCAATCTCATGGGGGGGGGGAGTGAGTCACAGAGTGGGGGAGCAGCATACCCTGGGGTTCATGCAGCAAATCCAGAGAGCCAGAAAAAGATCCTAGCTCCCAGCTCACCCTTACCCCGCCTACTCTGTCCCACGAGACTCCACTCCCTTCCCAGAGCTAGGGATAGAACCCAGGAGTTCTGGCTCCCAGCTCTCTGCTCTATCCACTAGGCAGTGCTCAATTCCCCAGGATTTCATTAGGGGGTCCAGGCCACCCACCCAGAGGTGAGAGATTGGGAATGCATAGGGGGCAGAGGAGGGGGCACTGGAGGTGCAAAGACCTTGTCGGTGAGTGCGGGGAGGGGCTGATCTTGAGGGTGAAGTGTGGGGGAGAGGTGCACTGGGGTGGGGACTGACCTTGATGGTGGGGTGGGTCTTGGTGGTGTCGGTGCTGCGCTCCCCAGGGATGCTGCCGGCCGAGCGCCCCTCGCACTTGTAGCGGAAGCGCATGCCACGCTGCTTGGGCTGTTCGATGATCTCCACGTAGGGGGTGCTGCTGGGGGTGGGCTCTGGGGGCACAGAGAGACAGACGTGAGCGAAGGACAGACCAACCCTCGGCATCACCCACACCTCTGCAATCAGCAATGGCTTTAGCGTGAGGGACATAAATCCTATGGAGCATGGAGGGAAACTGAGTCACATGGATTGGGTCAGTGGCCGAACTAGGGAATAAAACCCAGGAGTCCTGACTCCCAGCCCCTCCTGCCCTATCCACTAGATCCCACTCTTCTTTCAGAACTGGACAGAACCCAGGAGTCCTTTTGAACAGCCCCTATGCCCCCCCCCCAAAGGTGGCTGCAGCTCAGCATGGGGCAAGGGATCCCTATATAAACAGCCCCCTCACCCCACATCTCAGCACAGCCCTGTCAAGTCTGGGGCAGTTACTCCTTCTTGGGGATTTCCCCTGACTGGAGCTTTAATGGAACAGTGGAATGTACAGCCCCTCACATCACACTTTGCTGGCATTAGGCCAGCAGCCCTGCAGGGTGGAGATGGGAATCCCCAGGAGATCTCCAGCCAGAGCCAGTCTTGAACCTTGTCACACAGGGCACAACCACTGACTGCAGCTTCCGCTGCAGGAATCCACCTCACAATGTGACTAATCCAGAGTCCATGATGAGTCATCCCAACTCCCACCCCGCCAGGCAGGGGAACCCCTGGCACCAGGATCCCAGAGTGCTGAGATGCAGCCGCCTCTGGGGAGGGGCAAGGGGGCTGTTTATACACGGATCCCTCACCTGGTGCTGAGATGTAGTGTCACTTGTGTCTCATGCAATTCATGGCATTTCTAGCACCACGGCACACCCTAGAGACATGCTGCGGTACTGGGGTAGCACTTACTCTGAGGACAGAGTGCTCCCTACTGAGCCCCTGCCCCACTCACTGCAGCACAGCGGCCTCCTGCACTCTATTCCTGGCTCTGGGACGAGAGTGGGATCAAGTGGGTTACAGCAGGAGGTGCTGGGAGCCAGGACTCCTGGGTTCTACGGGGATAATCTCTAGTGCTTGAGATGGTTTTGCAAGGGACTAGTGCTTCGACAGCTCTAACAGCCTTGGAGAGTAGTTGCTAGTGAAATACATTATTAACAATCATAATTTTGTTAATTACATTCAATTTAAATATGCAAGTTGAATCATGACTCACCCTGGAGGCCCCAGTCCTGATGGAGGAGGACAAGTGGCAGCAGGTCTGAAAGGCAAGAATGGGAGGTATTATTGGCATGATAGAGCCAGGGTTTTAGCAACCTCCTGCAGCAGGGAGTTCCAGAGGTACAGGAGGCAGATGGGACCATACAAGGGCCCTAACTGGGAAAACAGATTTCTTGTAATCAATCAGCTCCACCTAGTGTCCATACCTGGCATTGCACCTCATCCCCTCTCCACTCTCACTCCCCATGCCTATTACATGCTTCTATGAGACCAGTCCTCCATGCTGCCCAGAATCCTGACTTGCCCACCAGCAACGGGGCTCATGCTGCCCCAGGGGAAAGAGTGGGGGTGAGATGCAACTGCCTCTGGGGTAGGCACAGGGCTGGCTAGCAGCTGCATAGTCATTTGGAATTAGAAATAAAAGATAATGGTGAATGGGGTTAAAACAGAAGGGGGTTATTCAGGGAGGAAGAACGGAATCTGCTGGGGTGGGAGGTGGCCTGGACACAGGGTTCACATGCCAAGTGACGTGCACCTGCACTCGGGGCTATTTCACCCCTTGATGTCCAGGCAGCATGAGGATTTGGGGAATTGGGCAGGCAGCGCAGGGGGCTCGTGACGGGGAGTTAACAGCTCCTGATCTCAGATCCTGTCCCAGAGACAGGAAAGTCCCAGCTCCCACAGCCTGCTGCTCTTTCCCGTAACTCACATGGGGCCTGTGCTAGCCTGGCACCACTCCCAGTTGTCACAGAGCACCCAGACTGCAGGCACTGCCAGGTCAGGATACAGCTGGTACACCTCCAAGAGAAATACTGAGTGCTGAAGGGAACAGGCTCTCTCCCATCGCAGTCAGGGCTGGCACAGATGTCCCAGTGCAGCACTAGGGGACACTGTGCTGATCCTGACCTCTCAACCCCACTGTCCTGGGAATGTCCAGCTCAGGCAATTCCATTGCTCTCCCTAGATGCTCCAGCAGTTCCAGCTGGTCTTACTCACCCCAGATACCCATGTGCAGTGTTGTTGTGTGGCTGTTGTACATTGCCATGCTCCACCCTAGAAGTGGCTGCATTTTGTTGGAGGATGAAATGATGGTTTCTATAGCAGCTATAGAATGGTCTGCACACTAGACATGTCATTCCTACAGGACCAGAGAGGCCTCCAACTCTGGGTAACAGCAAGCACCAGACAAACCCTGTTACAGAGAGCTTCCCCTCCCAAGCACACATCTTTCAGAAACACACCCAAGGGATCCCTTGCCTGAGATGCAGCCACTTCTGGGGCAGGTCATGGGGGGTTGTTTGTAAATTATACGGCACAGAATTTTCCCATTGAACACCCCCAGGCACCTGGCTTCTGGCTGCTTCCTTTGGGAAGACAATCCCATGCTTTCTCCCTGGTGCTCGTTGCCCCAGCCAGGTGATGTGTGGATTTCAGGCATGGGGTGATCAGGGCCTGGTTTGTGAAGGACCCTGCCCAGTGACACACCCAAATCCTTCCAAGTGGGGAGGGAGTGGGGCATTGTCACATAGGGCTCGTCCATGCTTCCAGTGCTGCAGCATCTCTCGGCGTAGGTACTCAACATCCCCAAGAGGCAGGAGTGGTCGGTGGGAGAAGCTCTCCTGTTGACTCAGCGCTGTCTGCCCTGGGAGTTAAGTCGGTGTAAACTGCATCGCTCCGGGGGGTGGATTTCCCACATGCCTGAGCAATGTAGTTATACCAACGTAAGTCCGGAGCGTTGACCCAGCGGAGATGCAGGCAGGTCAGCATTGAGTACTAGGACTCCTGGGTTCTAGTCCCAGCTCTAAGAGGGGAATAGTGACTAGTGGTTAGAGCAGTGGACTGGGAGTTAGGACTCCTGGGTCTCATTCCTGGCTCTGGGAGAGGAGCCGTGGTTTTGGGTTCCCCCAATCACCTCTCAGGCACAGCCCTGAGCCCCTCGTCTCCACAGAGCACCTCCATGGAGCAAAGGCTCTAACAGGGAATTCCTGGGAAGACTGAGCTGCTGAGAACCAGAAGTGGGACTAGACCGGCGCTGCCCTGATACGTACAAGCAGCCAATGCTGCCCTCGTTCCCCACTCCTCTGCTGGGCGAAGACATCACAGCCTTGGCCACATCTGCAGCACTGTGCCCCCTAGCACCACGCAGGGGCACTGGGGCCAGCACTGACTGTGAGGGGACAGCGCCCCCTACTGAGCTCCCCCAGCACCCACTGAAGCCTCCAGGACTGCAGCCTGATTCTGCCCAGCCCAGGGCTCCCAGCTTGGCTCAGACCAGCAATTAGTGCCCTTAGTTTCTGTTTGCAGAGCTGGGAGCTGCACCCTGGTTCCCAAGGGGCCCAGCTCACTCATTAACCAGGTACCATTGTCCCAACAGCACTGCTAGTGGGAGGTGATTTATGGGGCCTGTGCAGGGACCAAGGGAGGCAGCAATTTAGGAAGAGGAAGAACAACAGAAACTGTATTTCAACTCAAAACCCACAGGTGGTGGGAGAGGGGAGGCGTAACCCAGGACTGGCCTAGCAGGGGGCTGCGGGGCAGGAGTGAGGGGCTCCTGAAGGGAGTTTTCTGCCTGTTTCAGCACTAAGTTTTTAAAGTGGAAATGAGGGGTGGGGGGCACTATTCTAACCACTGCCCCATACGTACCCACTGATCCCAGGCCTGCCAGCTCCAGGAATGGGGAGCCCTGGTCCCCTAGGATCCATGCCCCCTCCCAGCATGCTGCAGCTGCTGGGATGCAGGGGGAGGGGCAGAGGGAACAATTCTTTTCCCTTGACGTCATCTGTTTTGTGCAGGAATCTTGTGGCCAGAGGCTGGGCCGACAGTCCCCCAGCCAGGGGAGTGGCAGGAGCCCAGCACAGGGAGGACAGAGAACTGGAGTCCTGGGGGACAATCCTGCCCTGGGTGCTGAAGTGGAGGGGACAGAACGGAACTAGATGGGGACTTCTCATCTCTATGAATTACGGGCGTTACAGTAGTGCCGGGCCCCGTCATGGCGGGCGCTGCACAGACCCCGGCCGAGCTCCGGACCCCGTCATGGCGGGCGCTGCACAGACCCCGGCCGAGCTCCGGGCCCCGTCATGGCGGGCGCTGCACAGACCCTGCTGAGATCAGGGCTGCTGCACAGACACACAGTGAGAGACAGTCCCTGCTCTGGAGATCTAATAACCTACACAGAGAAAGGATGGGAGGGGAAACTGAAGTACAGAGAGGGGGAGGGACCTGCCCAAGGTGACAAAAAGAACTCAGGAGTCCTGTGCTTTATGCACTGGGCTGCCTCCACATGCAGGTCCATTCAAGTTTCAGGGAACATTTGGTGATGTGTCAGTCTCCTGGGTTCTAGCTGCAGCTCTGGGAGGGGAGTGGGGACTAGGAGTCTGGGAGGCAGCAAGGTTTTTTCCCCGCCTCCTTCCAGAGACAACCAAGCTATGCCTTCCCACTGACCCCTGGGGCCAGTACCCCCTCCCTCCCAAATCTCTCTGCAAAAGCCATCAACGTTCGGATGCCAGCAGGAACCGCCTTTGTGTCCTGCTTGTCTGCAAAGTGGGTGACAAGCATGCACACATGTACAGGGGAGATGGAGAGAGTGTCCTTCGTCTGTAAGGCCAGATGGGCCCACTGCGATCATCTAGTCTGATGTCATGTATAGCTAGTGCCTACCAAATTCACAGCCCTGAAAAACTCATCACAGACCATGAAATCTGGTCTCCCCCTGTGAAATCCGGTCTCGTGTGCTTTTACCCTATATTATACAGATTTCACAGGGGAGACCAGCGTTTCTCAAATTGGAGGTCCTGACCCAAAAGGGAGTTGCAGGGGGGTCACAAGGTTATGGTAGGAGGATTGCGGAATTGCCACCCCTCACTTCTGCGCTGCCTTCAGAGCTGGGCAGCCGGAGAGCAGCAGCTGTTGGCCAGGTGCCCAGTCCTGAAGGCAGCGCCCCACCAGCAGCAGCGCAAAAGCAAGGGTGGCAATACCATACCACGCCATCCTTAACTCTGCATTGTCGCCTTCAGACCTGGGCAGCCGGAGAGTGGCGGCTGCTGACAGAGGGCCCAGCTTTGCAGGCAGCAGTGCAGAAGTAAGAGTGGCAATACCATACCATGCCACCCTTACTTCTGCACTACTGCTGGTGGCGGCTCTGCCTTCAGAGCTGGGCTCCCGGCCAGCAGCCACCGCTCTCCAGCTGCCCAGTTCTGAAGGCAGCGCCGCCAGCACCTGCGCAGAAGGGTAGCAGTGTCGCAACCCCTCCTACAATAACCTTGCAACCCCCCTCACAACTCCTTTTTGGGTCAGGATCCCAACAATTACAACACCGTGAAATTTCAGCTGTAAATAGCTGAAATCATTAAATTAATGATTTTTAAAATCCTGTGCCCGTGAAATTGACCAAAATGGAACGTGAATTTGGTAGGGCCCTATATATAACATAGGCCATAGGCCGGCCCAGAATTAATTCATCCAGGACAGAGCAGATCTTCTAGAAAACCATCCAATCTTGATTTAAACATTGCCAGTGATGGAGAATCCACCACAGCCCACGGTTGGTCCAATGGTGAATTCCCCTCACTGGTAAAAATATGTTGCCTTATTTCCGATCTGCATTCCGCAAGCTTCATTTCCAGCTGCTGGATCACGTTACACCTCTGACTGCCGAACTGAAGAGCCCTCATGTTATCCAATTTCTGTCCCCATGTAGGTACTTTCTGTTCCCTGTGTATATGCCCGAGAGGTGCATACAGGGGAGGGTGTATGTAAAATACACACATGCAGGACAGCCCCAATCCTGGCTGAGCCCAGGGACTGAACAGGGGACTTCCCACGCTAAAAGGCTGAGGCCAGATTGACACTCGAAACGTTTGCTGGTAAAGCAATGTCACTCACGGGTGAGATTTGTTAACAACATTTTATACTAGCAAAAGCTCCAATGCAGACACGGTTATAGCAGCAAACAGACTCAGAGCACTGATGATAATAATGATAAAACAGTCCTCTTGTCAGTGGCTTGTTTTGCTCAGGGAACTGGTATAAGGAGTGTTTTGC